CACCGCCCCGCCCCTCTATGTTTGCCCCTCAGAAAGTGGAATCCCCGAATATGCGTTGTAGGTCAATAACGTTTTAAACGAAGACTTTCACCTGACCTTTACCAACAGTTGAAGTGTTTTTTCGTTGGTAGCTGGCTGTCGGTTGCTCTGGTGTGGTCTGTTCCTTCTTTCCCATCAAACATCTATCTCCCTTATCTATCACTTCCTTCTTTTGTGATTTTTACTCGCTAGCACACCTCTAGTCTTCAACACTTATATGACATATTTGTGTTTCAAGAACCGTAGAACGCCCCCCCCCCCCTTTTTCCGCCAGGACAGTGCTAATGACAGAAGTGATCTTTAAGCGATTCCCAAAGGAGTAAATTCACATGTTCTTATGCACAGTAGAATTGTACATTGGCTCATTTATCAATGTCTTGCTTATAATATAGTGTGCCGGAACAACATAGAGGGAAACTACTCATTTTGTTTTTCTTCAATATCGACACAATTCATAGTCCGAGTGTTGTGATGACCCTGCCTTTCATTAACAATTTCTGCTGAGCCGTTTACAGTATCCTCGGTCTCTAAGTGTCCAATGAAGGCACGCCCGTCTTCTATGAATAGTATGTTACGTTGCTGGACCGTTTTAAACCGGAATGATATAACACTTGAATGCAGTATGCTAAGAAATGATATTTATTATATTCTAAATGGGCAAGACACTGCGTACAATGTACAAAGGGACACGATGCTTGGATAAATAATAATGAGTCTCGTTATTAGAATACTAGATTTAACTATAAAAAGACTCTATCCCTATGTCTCCCTACGTCTTCTTGCTTTCCATAGACTACACACAGCATAGCCCTATTTACACCTATGCACACTTGCAAACTCTCTTAGGCTCCACCCCTCCCCCGCCCCCTCTCCGAAAAGTCTCTCTCTCTCTCTCTCTCTCTCTCTCTCTCTCTCTCTCTCTCTCCCTCTCTCTCTCTCATTTTTGTGTATCCTTGTTAGTCAGAGGTACATACAGTGAACACATCAGGATCGGTGATAATAAGCAGTAGGCCTACTTCTTGAACATGTGAAAGGGCTTTATCAGAACAGGCACATAAACAGTGGCGAAGGCTGACTTGTTTGACAGGGTAATCAATGTCAGATGGGACCAGTATAGAGCCTGGAGAATGGAGATATCAAACAAAAATCTTACTCGAGGCGGCAACACTGCGTTGCGAATGAAAAATGAAAACAAATCCTGACTTCATATCGTATGCATGTTCAACCGCTAAAATAATCGGGAAAGTATCTCATAAATATTTTTCCAACAAACATTAAATTTATCTTTAGATGTGAATACACAAACACAAAGCAAAGAAGCAGAGATGTCAGTTCTACAAAATGTAGTACCAGCGAGACTAAACTCTTTGGTAGAACCTGACAATTATTAATTTTTGTATTTCCCATTTGGCTGTTTTTTGTCTTGCGTTTTGCGACCGGGAGCCGGTGTCATAATGGAGGTCACGATCTGATTATAGGACAATACAAAGTCGAGGGGAAAAAACAAGCACTTGCAGAAGTCCAGATGTTATTAGGAGTTAGTTCCCCTCACATCTGTGAGGTAGACTCGACCAGTGTAATAGTTCGCTTACATAATCAGTGCTTGTGACTGCTTATAACTGTGGCCCGAAAGGGGTGAACAGGGTATATGTGGCAATGAAACAGTTTTGACTGTAGCACATATTATATATATGGAAATAGCACATTTATATTTTTTGGTTTCTTTTATTACCGTTTTTCTAATAAAATCCACACAGGAGTGTGTTTTAAAATAAACATTGAATGTGCTCAGCCAATAAAAAAAAACTTTTTTAAAAATGCCCAACGGTCAGAAAAACAACAATTTATTTGATTTCATTATTTTGACGAGCGCCTGATTTTACCACGATGATTGACTTATTAAAATTTTGTTTTGTTTTTTGTTTTTATGTTAGAGCTGAAGGAAAAATCTTTTTTTTGGTGGTCTATTATTGAATAGTGTGTCCGAGCAGGTACGCTGACATTAGATTAATTGCTGTGTTTTTTAAAAGACCTAGAAAACGACAGATCTTGCCGAAATTACATTCAGACTGGTGTAGATTACCACAATTAGGTAAATACACTATTGTAGCTTGTCATGCTTATGTTTTCAGACTGATTTAGTTTGTCATGCATATGCTAGCTGATACAGATTGCCATGTTTAATTTTGCGCACTAATCAAAGTCAGATTTAGGCTATTATTTTCAGGCGGATATAAATTGCCTTTCTTTAAGTTCACAGACTGGTGTCACGTTTTCAAACTGATATAGTTTCTCAAGCTTAGTTTCTTACTGTGTAGTTTGACATGCCTACGTTTCCTGACTGATTTTTGTTTTGCAAACTTTCGTTCACAGACTGTACACAGGCAAATCCGCGTTTGATATACCCATTTTGCAACTTTCCCCTAACGGACATGCGCTTGGAAAAGAGAACATTCAAAGACACATGGCAACAGCCTTACCCCCATTCGTACAAGGACACATCAGAAGGTTAGAGATCCACGTATTCTGTCGTCCTCATTTGGAAAATGTTATTGATATGGTTGTCATCTATAGAATATGCTGTCTCAAGGAATTTTCTTCAGCAAGATGTGTTTTCTGAATGAGATGTGGGCCAAATGCTTGAAACACTGAATAAGTAAAACACTTTCAAACTGAACGGATTTATTTCAAATCTTTTCTTTGCCCTTGTCATCCGGGAGATGATTCTTGGACTATTGTATAGTCGTTTACACAAAAACAGTTTCGTGGGTTATGTACAGTGTATAATTTACGTCGACCGACCACGAGCTATGACAGTTTATTGGATCAGAAGACAAGATTATCGAACTAAGCCTTGATTGTATGGAAATACAGTTGTTACACCTGCCTTCTTGGTGCAATAACTTTGACAATATCAGTCATTTTGCTGGTTTTGCTATCATTATCTTAGCACTGTTCTTTGTCCTGAAATCATTTATCATCTTTAGGTAAGGCTCAAAGTTGTTATGTTTTCATGTGTGTGTGTGTGTGTGTGTGTGTGTGTATGTGTGTGTGTGTATGTGTGTGTGTGTGTGTGTGTG